GCAGGGCTGCCTGCATGATCACTAGCCTGAGTGTCAGCCTTTTTAGCTTTCGTCCCCTCCCCACTATCCGCTACCGGCATTTCGTGGAGAGCTGACGAAAGCTAAAAGGTGAAGTAGTATCACTGTGCAAAATATGAGTCAAATCTATTTTTACCCCATGCCACCATTGTTTAATCCTTACGTACAGACATTTGCTCGTAAAATCTGAAAACACAGAAGTCAGCCATGTTTGTTTACATTCGGGTTGTTTGTGGTGGTGTTTAAAGGCTGACAGGCTCGATGTTCCCCGACTAGCGCCTAGCGGACAATCGGGCGGTAGCCGGGGAACATCGAGGGTGTCAGATATCACCGCAAATATGTGCGGGGTTGGCAGAAACCAATAAATCACCATTTACAAATAGGATTTTGGGTGGAAAGGCCCCAAAACTTAAAGTATTGGATTTTTTTATTTAAAGATTACGTTTACACTAAATGCTGCGGATCTAGAGTTCACATTCTGCTCTTTATCTTTTTTTTCAGTTGGGCGAACGCGATAGTTGGGAAAGGGTACAGAGGGAGACTGGAGAACGAAGACCTCTACCCACTTAAAGACAAGGATACCTCCCTGGTAGTTACCAATGAGTTCCGACCGTGAGTTTTTCTTTTTATTCCAACTTTCCAATAGAACAATAAATAATGCATAATGGTGACTTACTTAGCTAAAAAATTTGGTCTATGTGGGACAGGTAGAAATGTAGACAGGATTCTTAATGCCTATGTCAATGAAGAAAAACTATAATTAGCAAAATAGCTTATATTATCATCACCACCATTATTACTTACAACACAAGAAAAATATCATTAAAGGTCCAAGAAATGAATTAAGCATTATGGTGATGCCATCTGTAAATAGTATAAATCAGTGAAAAAATCGATTAGTTTCGGGTAGGCATGATTGTGTGGTTGTGAGAGTTTGAGTGATAATTTCAGGTGACAGTAGAGCTAGATGATCCTATGGGTAACAGATATACAGTAGCATTACGAAATGATTTTTTCAAAAGCATTTGATATAACTCCATATATATCGGCATTTAAAAACCCCTGAATAATTATGTGTATGTATTTTATATGTACATTGTAATTCCTTTCGCAATTGTTTCTTTCGTCTTCCATGTTTATGAAAATGTAATCTTAACAATAAAACTAGAGTCCCGCGATCTCATACCTTCGCCAAATGATGTTAATCTTTATGACAAAGTAAAGATTATTCCTCCTGATTATGCAAATAGGATCCTCATTTGCATGAATATCAGTTGATTTACTTGATTATATTCTCCATCAAAAGACAGCCTTATCTTAACAAAGAAAGCCATTCTATCATTTCGTCATAAATTATGCAAATGAGGACCTTATTTGAATAAGTTATGTTAAATGATGTTCACCTTCACTTAAGGTCTCGGACCGGAGTTTCCCTCCGTATTTCGAGCAATTTGACACCCTCAGCCCGACGGGCTGTCATTTCTGTACTAAACGCGGGTCGGAATTTTTCACTCTTTTGGTGGAAAGGGGTGCCGTGCCGCTTATCAATACACTTGATTGATATTTTCTGCGCCCAATTTATTTAGGGGTAAATGAGGCACATCAAAGTACATTTTGAAAAAAGGGGTCATTTTTTTCGTCATTTTTAACCATGGCTGCATGGAAAAAACGAATTTTCCCAGGGTAACGGCTTAGTACTCGAAGAAGCTCAGAACCTAATGTTTCCAAAATTTGAATTTAATTAAAATCGATGCGATAAGTTTATCGCTATCTTCGATGGCCCGAACACACCCAGAACGCATATAGAACGTACCATCCCGGCGGTCAGGCGAAAAGGCCACATAACCATCCGCGCGGACGAATACCAGGAAGTCTTAGCTGGACCACCAACATTACGCCACCTATAAAGGCTACAACTAACAGGCTTTTCAGAAAATACAAAGATACGTACACAGATGTTACGATGTCAGGGATATCGCGGCCAAAACATACCATACAAAGTCACGTTTCCGGCGATTTACTGCGCACTTACTTAGACTCTGGTCAGAATTAAACTCCGACCCGGAACCTTAAGGAGATTAATTTTCATTAAAAAAATTTAATATTCTTCAGAAACATTATATCTATCATATATCCAAATTTGGCTTGTATGCGATCATTACTTTTCCCGCGGCAGCGGTTTAAAGTCATGTGAAAAACACTGTGTTCTATGGCTACTTTTGCCAAGACGCGGCCCCTAGGAGGCATTACAATGGAGAAATTAAAAAGTACCGTTTTTTGGGGTTTCGCTTTTTTCAAATCAGATAAAACGGAAGGAAACGCCCGCTCTGGTCATTGGCTAGGGATAGATGTGGTTTTATCGTCCTTTCTGTGCTGCATACTTGCGGGAAACCTCTTTAAAGTTGGGATCGATGACGTCACGCAGTGACGTCATGCGTTGTCCAAGTTAAACAGCAGGGGGTCGCGTTTTTGCTTCACCGCTTTACATTAAAATGAAGAATACGTCAGATTTTGACCTTGAGTGATAGAACTGAGCTCGCACTTTCCGAATCAAACGAGTCCGACACCAAACTCTTCACTACTTTGCCGTGAATGGCCTATTAAGTAGCACAGAGCACCTTAAATGTGTGAAAAACTGCGTTCTTACGAGGCGCAAAACACAATCTGGGTGATGCTGCCGTGGCTAGGAGCGATTAGTTGAAAAAATTGCTGCAAAGTTGCGTGAAGTACTTATTAGGCTACCACTTAACACCAGCCAACGAAAAGAAGTTCGCGATTTTAAGGAGCCCTGAACCGAAAATCAGAAAACCTAGTTTTGCCTTAAATAGGCCTAACAATCGAATTTTCCTGTAAAATGTCAGTTAAGTCACCATAAATGGAAAGACTTGGCCGAAATTATGCGGAAGTCAAATTTAGAGGTCGACTCACATGAAATGACATAGAAAGTGAATTCATTTGAGAACATTTTATCGCCCTGAAACGATTAAAACTGCCCTTCACGGAGAGGTCGGGGGGGGG